CTGCATGGATCCCAGAGGTATTTAAATATGCTGCAGCAGACTTTCTTCTTTGAAACATGATCTAACAAAAGATGTGAGTTATTTAATTCAGTAGGGTCAGGGTTACTTGAGGTAGCTTTTGTGCACCCTTTGCAATAAAAGAAGCTGTTCTAAAATAGGAAGTAAAATAAATTTTTTAAAAAAGCCATTATAGCAGATTTTAACTTTCTTAGTAAGTTTTCTTCAAAAGATATTTACAAGTTAAAAAGAAGTTAATACCTTTATCCAGTCAAGAATGCAGCCTGTGGAATCTTCCAAAGACTTTGGTTGGAGAATTCTTAGTCTATGTGTCTGAGGCCATAGTGCCTTGCCATAAATTGACTCGAGTACAATACAAAATCATATTTTAGCAATAACAATTTTTGTACTCAGGACTTGAAATTATTTAAAAATATAAGTTTGATTACATTCAGTAACACTCATTTTCAGTCTAAATTATGTATGTATGTGAAATAGGTGGGGAGGGAGGGAGAGAGAGGAAGAGAGATGGGGAAATTTAAGATTCTAAGAATTTTATTTAACCCTAAAAATCCCTGGGATTAAGATTTTGTGTGAATATCATTTAGGGATCATCTGAAGATAAAGTCTAAAGTCTAAAGTCTTGATAGCTATAAGGAATGGCCTCATTATAGAGCCATCTTCTTTTATTTATTACCCAAATATCTGGCCCTTAGTAGTTGCCATAGAAATATTCTTAACAGAAATGAGAACCACTTAGACTAATATGTATTAGAATTTCCCGGAAGTCTCCTTGGATAAAAAGGTTGAATTTTCCAAAGAAGTTGCTTCATCTACTCTCTAGAGGTTTTTCTAAGAAATGCTCTAACACAGCAAGTATATCTGAATGAAACCCTGTGATTTGACTTCTGGGAAACTCTCCCTGGCCACAACCCCAAGATGTTTGTCTATGCAAGGAAGCTGATTTGAGTCTTTAGGATTTTAGTAAAATTTCTGTAAATGGGACAGTCCTGGTAAGCCAAGGGTAGAAGATAGAAAGATTGGGAACTTCCAGGAAGAAGGTGGATTCAGGTATTTGAGGCACTGTGGTAGGCAGAATTCCAAATGGCCCTCATGATCCTCACCATAACCAAAGAATGACCTAATTATCCCCTCCCCTGGGGTATGGGCAGGATCTGGGCATATGAGAGGACAGTACTCTGTGACTGTATTATATTGTACGACAAAGGTGACAGGATTTTACAGATAGAAATAAGATTCCAAATCTGTTGATTTTGAGTTAATCAAAAAACGAAGATGATGGTTTAGGGGACTGAGGCAGGAGAATTGCAAGTTCAAAGGCAGCCTCAGCAACTTAGCGAGACCCTGCCCTGACTCAAAATAAATAAATAAATAAATAGAGCTGGGATGTGACTCAGTAGCTAAGCATGCCTGGGTTCAATCCCTGGTACCAAACAACAACAAAACAAAAAGCAAAAAAAAAAAAGACGATTATAGGAGGCCTACCATAATCAGATAAAAACTCTTAAAAGAGGCACTCTGTACTTCTGAAGAGAAGCAGTCTCTTTTTGGCCTTGAAGGAGCAACAGACATGCTATGAACAACCAATAGAGAGGGAAGACTCTGGAAGCCAGAGGTCTCAGTCCTGTAACTACAGGCAGCAGACTCAGCTAAACTGTGCATGGACTCCTGACTCTCAGAAACTGCGATAATACATCTGTATTGCTTTAATCTGCTAAATCTATGGTAATTTGTTGGGCAACATTAGAAGATGGATACCGGCATAGTTCCTAACAAAAATGGCAAAAGGGAAGGAAAAAGCAGAGGCGGCACAGTATGTAAAATACGAAATGACACAGAGTTGGGGAAAAAAGTGGCATTATGAAGTCTAACCTTGGACTGAGAAACTTGGAAAATAGATAGGTCAGAGGAGCACTAATCACAAGGTTGTAGTTGTTAACCTTTCCCTAAACCAATCTCTGCCTGGCCTCTGCCATCAGTATCTCTTCTAGAAACAATTTCTATGGCCTCCTCCATGTGAGGCCCTGTCCTACACTCTGTAAATACTGAAAGAAGATGTCAACATGCTCATGGCCTAATTGAGGAGTCAGATACACACAAATATGGGTGATTAAGCATGCTAAATGCTGTGTGTGTGTGTGTGTGTGTGTGTGTGTGTGTATACATGTGTATTCATGCCTATGTCCCGTGCAGCCCACCCAATAGAGGAGGGCAAGAAGTATTGGCTGAATCATAAACAGACACATCATCAAACCAAGAGTTCCAGAGTCAACAGGCATGTAAGCAACAGTCTCTGGGAGGTTGAGAGAGAATTTTCCATTTACCACAGAGTTGGGAGAGAAGATATCTGAGCTCCAGTGTGTGAGGGATGAGACAGGGGTTTAAAAAGCATCAAATCCAGTGTCAGGATTGCTTATCAGCTCCAGTTGGGAGTGGAAAAGGGATAATCTCAAAGCCTGAGGACCTGAGGTGTCCAGGGAATAGGAGCAGCCTAGGAATCTGATTCAGCAACACCCTTCAGGCTTGGGCCACACTGGCACCTATCTTTCACATCACCTTTGTGTGTGTGTATGTGTGTGTGTGTGGTACTGGGAAGTCAAACCCATGGCCTCTTGCGTGCTAAGTAAGCACTCTACTGCTGAGCCACACACGCACACACATCAGCTTTTTAGGCAGCTTCTGTTCATCCTTGGGTGACTCCCCCTTTGTCCCCTTCCCACTTTCCTTCCTGTGCTTCATCTTTATCCCCTATCTGCTCACTTCTCAGAATGATTCATATCAGGACAACGTCAAGGCCAAAATGGACCACTGACTTGACCAATTTGATCAACTCCTTCATACTATAGATAAAGCACCCTCTTCTTTGTATTCTGACTCAGAGTTAAAATGTTTTTTTTTCCTTCTTTTTATCAAAGTCTAACTGATTCCTCTGGGTTGACCATCCTTCATTCATTTTGTTGTTTTTGTTCACTCAGTTACTCCCTGACAATTATTTATTTGAACACAGATACTACTCTAGGTACTCTCCAGTACCTAGAATATTGGACATGAAATAGCGTGTCCAGGATCTCAGAGAGTTGACATTATAGCTGGAGAATTAGAAAATAAGCAGTGAGCAAATAAATGAACTGTAATATCTCAGAGTTTCAAGTTGCTATGGTTCGAATGTGTCTCCCAAAAGTTCATGTGTTGAAAACTTAATCCTCAGAGTCCTATGTTAATAGTATTTGGAAGCAGGTCCTTTGGGATGTAATTAGGATTGGAGCGATCATGAGAGGCAATCCTCCATGATTGCATTAGTGGCTTTATAAGAGGAAGAGAGCCCCCAAAGCACACTTGTTCTGTCACATCATTTGGTGCCTTTTATCATGTTATAATGTAGCTAGATGGCCCTTGCCAGATGCCATGCAGTTGCCCAACATCATCCTCTTGGACTTTCCAGCCTCTAGAACCATGAAGTAAATAAATCTCTATTCTTGATAAATTACTCAGTCTGTGGCACTCAGTTATAGCAACAGAAAATGGACTAAGACATAAGTGAAAAAACAGTTGAGTAATAAGTGCTCCCAAACTCCTCTTGGGTTTCCTAGTCCAGTGTATTGCATACCATTCAATGACCTAAACCCAAACCCCAGGAGGCATCCTGAACTCATCCCTTTCCGTGTCCTTTACTTTTACTTTCAATTACAAATTACCAAACCACGTGGATTCCAGCTGTCAATGGCTCTCAAATTCACCTGCTCTCCTCTGTGCTATGACACCTAATGCCAACTTGCCCAAATCATTGCAGACTCCCCCTGACAGGTCTCCTCTCTCTCTCTGGTCTTGTCCTCTTCCTTCATAGCATGCCCTCTTAGAATAATTCAATGGTTCTCTGTAGTTACTCCAGTAAAGTTCAACCTCCTTAGCACAGCATGCTAGGTCTTTCATCATCTGGGTCCTACTGAGCTCTTCAACACAGTTTTCCTACACAGGTTTCACTCAGCCCTATTTGCAGATCTGCTTATCAAGGTGCTACATATCCTTGTCCATGCCTTTATGTGTTCTGTCCTCACTTGACGTGCCTTCTGATCAATGTACTCTAACTTCTTTCAAAATTCAGATCAAATGTCACTTCATTTAGGAAGACCCTTCTTCTTCCAACAACCCATGGGGTTCTTATAAAAAAAAAAAAACTACAGTGAGAAGAAATGTGAAAACTTTAGGTCTGTGATGACATTCAGCTTCTGATGTATTTCCCTGATGGAGTTTCTTGAATTTAGGGCAGACATAATTAGCACATGAATAAAGTTTTCTTATTTCCAAAGGTAGACTCTGAGGAGGGAGACTTGTCTCCCTTGTTGTTATAATAAAATGGACTCATGCACAGAAACTTTTCCTTCTACTTTGTGTGTTTGTTACATGATACTTTTGATTATAGTTTGAGCTACTTAATGGCCTGTAAGTGGCTTCTGAAAGATCACAAAATTGAAGACAAATTCCCTGGATATCACATCCCAGGCAGCACACATAGTCATATACATATATTAATAATCCACTGCAAATTCCCAGCCCTGAGGGTTGGCTGTTGCGTTTCCAGTTTCAGAGTGTTGGTTTGGCATGTTGACAGCTGCTCCCTATTTCCAGGATACTAGATATAGAATCCACTAACCTGCTACTCTCCCTGGAAAGATCTGGGACCACATGCCTCCACCAAACCAAGGTCTATCAGGAAGCAAGCTCCTAGGTTAACCTCTGTCACTGTAGCCCTGACCTTCCATGGGAGATTAAGACACTCCCTGTGAAAGGAACAGCTACTTCTCCAGAAGGTATTTTTCCCTTGGACAACTGTTCCCTGCGCAGGTTGTTCTGCTAGCAGGTGCACACAAAAGCCCACAGCCACTTCTTATGCATTACTTGATGACACTCCCTAACTGTACCAGGTCTGCACCTTTCTGAATGTGACAGACCCTAGAAGGGGTAGTAAAAGATGCAGTTCTTACTTGCATTCAGCAGAGTTCGGATCTTTTTCTCTTCCTCAGCTTCTTGAAGTAGCTTTTCTGCCAGTGTCTTGTCCTCTGTTTCTACACATATGTCAGATTCTCGAAGATATTCCAGGTAGTCAATCTCCCGCTGGGCACGTTCCACTCTCAGGGCCAAGTTATTTACTGCACTCTTATACTCACTGGTGTAGGTCTGACATCTTCCCAGCATAACCGATATGTTTTTTGAGAATTCTCGGAAGTCTTGAATATATGCCCTTGTTGCTTGGGTACATTTTTCCAGCCCTTGCTTCAGTCAGAAAATAAATTATTAAAGTACTGTTAGTTATTCAAATTACCCAAGTAATAAAAATAGCTATCATTCATAAAAAATACAAATAATCAAAAAAATGAGAAATAAATGTTACCCATAATCCTACATTCAAAAGTACTATTGATAATTAATATTTTTGAAAGATCTCATGTATTTAGTGATATACATATCTATGTTGTGTGTTTGTATTTATAATGTTGTATGTGTGTGTGTTTGTGTGTGTGAGATACTAGGAATTAAACTCAGGGCCTTGCACATGGTAGGCAAGCTCTCTACCACTGAGCTACATCCCCAGTCCTTTTTAAAACATTTTTATTTTGAGACAGGATCTCACTAAATTTTCCTGGCCAGCCTCAAACTTGTGATCCTCTTGCCTCAGCCTCTTGAATAGCTGGTATTAAAGGTGTGCACCATTGTATTCATAAATATATGTTTTAAAATATGACTTTGTATATGTTTTGTAACATTTTTAACTTGCTGATATATCAACATATTTTAATATCAATTAATATATATCTGTATCAAAAACTTTTGAGCCTTTTTAAATTAACAAGTAAAAGTTCTATGTGTTTATGGCATATACATGATGTTTTAATATATGTATACATTGTGAAAGGGCTAAATCAAACCTATTAATAAATGCATTACTCTCACATTCCTTTTATTTGTAATGAGAACATTCAAAATTTGCTTACTTGTCGATTTTAAGGTATGCAATATAGTTATTAACTCTAGTCATTATAGTGTAGGATAGATTTCTTGAACTTGTTCCTTCTAACTGAAATTTTGCATTTTCAACCAAGATCTCCCCATTGCTCCTACCCCTCAGCCACTTTCAATGACCATTCTACTCTGTTTCTATGAGTTCAGCTTTTTCAGATTCCTCTTATCAGTGAACTCATTCAAGGTTTGATTTTCTGTGGTTGGCTTATGTCACTTGGCATATGTCCTCAAGTTCACTTATGGCAATGCAAATGACCTCCTTTTAAGGCTAAATTGTATTCCATTTGGTGTATATACATTTTCTTTATCCATCTATATCATAATCAATAAGATATACCATTTCATTAATTGTATCCCATTATTTTTCTGTAATATTTATTTATTAATTTATTTATTGGTACCAGGGATTGAACCTAAGGGTGCTTTACCACTAAGCTACATCCTCAATCCTTTTTATTTTTTATTTTGAGACAGGGTCTCACTAAGTGGCCAAGACTAGTCTCTAACTTGCTAGCTTCCTGCCTCTGCATCCCAAGTCACTGGGAAAACAGGCGTGTACCGCCACACCCACCTGTCCTACTCTCTTTTTTTTAAATAGCATGTCTTTACTTTAATAAGTTTTTTTTTCCCCAAATTCTCCAGAAAAAGCAAGACAACAACTTTTCCCCATACACTTTAAGCAACACCAATCTTCAAAACCATATTATACTCAAATAAATCCAGAATACATAAGGAATCATTTGAAAACTAAATCAAGATGATACTTGGAAAATGAAATCGTGCATTCTCATAAATATTATGCTTGATTTTTTGTGTGTACACCTGCCTTCTTTCTCAAAAATACCCAAGAAACTGTAATAATGATTACCTTTGCATAGAGGAAATACAATGAAGAACGATGTAATCTTGTTTTTCATGTAATATCTTTCTACATACTTTAAACTTACTATAATCTTTTTTCTCAAGGGATTTTTTTTCTTTATTGATACATTATAATTATTCCAAATAATGGGATTCTTTGTGACATATCCACATGTGCCCACAATCTGGTCAATTTCGTCGGCCCAGCTTTCCCCCTGTTCCTCCCTCCCTATAATCCCTATCCTCTTAAGCTACTGGTCTCCTTTTTATTTTCATGAAATTCTCACCCCCACCCCGCTTTACCAGTGAACTTCATCTCCAACCCTCTTTATTATTATTGTTTTGAGACAGGGTCTTAGTAAGTTGCTGGGGCTGATCTCAAACCTGTGATCCTCCTGCCTCAGTCACCTGAGTCGCTGGAATTATAGGCGAGAGCCTTTGAACCTTGCTCTAAAAATCCCCCATTAAAAAAAAAGTATTTGTTCCTTCTTAAGTGGTCATTTATGTAGCTTTCAATTTTCTTTTTTCATTCAAACAATGCTGAGAAGAAAAAAAAATTTACATTTTCATGTGCTTAACTGGTTTTCTTAGGATAAAGTTCCAGAAGTAAGCTCCATCCCCAACACCTGGCTCAGTACCAATCATAGAGTAGTCTTCAACAAATATTTGGCCAAAGAGTATATGTACTTAAAGCTCATTTGGCACAGTTTAACGAAAATCTCTGTAGCTCAAACATGAATATTTAAGGCATTTCATTTTGTAGGTAAAGTAATAGAGATATAAAGAGACAGGAAGGAGAAGACAGGAGGGATTAAAAGTAATTCCCTAAATCTATATTCTCTTTCTTCTTATCCCTCTGAGATGTCCCTCTCATGGTGGGAACTGTATTACTTAGTTATTAAGTATATTGACCAACAGTGCCTGCCACCTGGGACTTGGCTTCACCTCCAGGTCAGGACCAGGTGGGAAAATCTATAAAAGTCACATCCTTGTTTTTAAAATCCACATTCAGAATTATGAGAGTATCCCTCTGTGCATTATACCCTTGTCTGCACACAATCTCTTAAAGTATTGAAGGACAGTTTACAGGTTATTAGTAGCTCTAATCCCAGGGCAAGTTGGTGCAAAAGGCTGAGCATAATTATGGCATTTTTAAGTAGTGAGACTGGGAGGTTTGTGGAGAGGGAGCTAGTGAAGCAGCAACAAGAGGCCACTGGGCTGGAACATTTCGCCCACAGCCTTCAGGCCTTAGTCTGGCCACTGGACAATGTTAAGCAATGCATTCTGGCTGCCCTGTTGAATCATTTTTACCGACTGTAGCTAGATGAGCAAATCATTTGGACTTGAACATTTTTTCAGGAAAATACAGAAAATAAATTGGAGATCAAAGTGTATTGGAAGATAAATAATATACCAATTATTTAACTTCTAAAAAGCAAAAGATTAAGTATGAAATAGTGGCTATCAATGCTAGGGTGTGGCAAAGACCAGGGCAGAGGATTACATTTGTTTTGAGAACCTGTCTGACTTACAAAAATGTTGGGTTTTATACATTTTAACAAAGTAGATGCCTAAATGCTTTCTCTCTACTCAACATAGTTGAAATATGCCATTTCTTAGTCCAAGTCCTGTTTGACCAAAAAAACAAAAAAAAAAACACTAAGACTTAGTCTGTCAGTATACTCTTATGACTTTTGACAGGGACATATTGGTTTATCAAAAAAAGACAAAAAACTAAAATATATTAACATCTTGATACAGTAAAACATGAAGAAAAAGTGACCCAAAGCTTTAATTTGTATATTTTAAGACATGAAGTATTAAATTTTAAATGTCCAGTATTTTGGACATTTACCTAACATGCTAGACAATGTTCTAAGTATGGATTAATGACCCAACACAAACCATCCCCAACTTCTCAGAGCTGGAATCTTTTTGTTAAATCTTCAGAATAACCTTAGAAAGTAATTTATATTATTATCTCCTTTTTATAGATGAGAAAAACTGTCAGATCAGAGAACAGAGGGAAGCCAAGGTCTGGGAGAATGGGCTCTAGAATTGGTGCCCTAAACTGATAAGACTACAGACATTTGTAAGTGTCACTTTAGCAATGGATTTATCACTTCCTATCTGTAAAACGTACATTCCAGTAGACAGTACAGCAAGGTGACTTCCAGGAGGCATGTTCCCTAGGCAAGTTTCACAGATGTCACCTACCTCTAAGACTTGAAAGCGCTGGTAGATATAATGCACCATGGCTGGATCCTGGGCATACTGTGGTGGGGGCAGAAAGGCTGCAAGGAACAGAACCAGCAGAGCAGAAGCTCCCCAAAGGGCCACCATGATCCTGCAAACTCTGCCAGGAGTGGAATCTTAAAGTGGTTCTTAGAGAAGACTCAAGGGTCCAGGTGGTGGTCTTCTGTTATCTATTGTCTGCTTTGGGAAATCCTTGAAAAACAATGTCTTGCACAGCCAGAGAGCAAAGTCGGCTTGTTATTCCACCCAATGCATGATCTCAGTTTGTGAGCTGGTGATCAAGTCCAGCTGTTGGCAAAGTCAGTCCCTGGAGTCCTTGCAGGCTCACTTGGTGCAGAGAGCTTCCTGGGTTCAGCCTCTGCTGCCCTCACCCTTGACATGCACAGACCCTCCCCAGGCTAATGGCTGCACACAGCTTTCAGCTTTCAGTGTAGGAGCGGGTGGGGAGGCCTTTCCCCTCCTCCCCTCCCCCAGCTGTTTCCTTTTTACTTTTGCTTTCCTCCTCCCTAATAGACTCTGCGGTCCAATCAGAGGCCTGACCCAACACAAACCACCCCCAATAACTTCTGGAGTTGGAATCTCAGTTGAGTTTCTGGCATAAGTTCCCAGGAGCTTTTTCCCAGAAGTTCTGTTGGGAGACCCACCTCTCCTCCAAACTTACTTTGCATTCCTGCAGCTCTTAAAGGCACAGCAAGGAAAAATGAACCCTGATCTACCCCTGTCTCTGAAAAGCCAGTGCACAGGGCTGCATTGCTCAGTGAGCAGAGAGGCACAATGAGCTACAGGCCTGGCTTCCCTGGGTTGAGCCCAGAAGATTTTTCTTAAGAAGAACAACAATTATTAAGATAGTGATGCTTCTAGAGCCAAGCCAAAGTGCAACTCCTTTGTAAGGAAGTCCTAGAGTTTTCTGTCACAAATGTCAGAATTCCCTTTAGACAGCTACAGGCTAGAAATACATAGGATTCAACTTCGGCAGTTTCCAATAGAGTTGAAGATAAATCATATCCCTAGAGCCAAGTGGTAAAATCTTCTAATTTTACACTTGCTGTTCAGGCTTTTACCTATCTCAACCACTCCTTCATGAGTGTGTTCAGGACTTCTCAAGGTTCTTTATCAATCACTACCAAGGTGGGGAAGATTGGGGTATCTATGAGATATGGAAAGACTTCTGGCCAATAATCAGAAGACCTTTGCATTTGGTCCCTGCAATAGACACTGGAAATCTGAGAAATTTCTATTGGCAGCCCTTGAAAGTTCTTGTCCCCAGTATATGTTCCTCCCCATTCCTCTTTAATATGACCTTAGCTCCCATTTCTCTCCAATCCTTTTGTCAAGTCCCAAACAATAGCTCCTCATTCTTAAAAACAATATCTCCTATTTCTGAGAAACTTCTTTGAACTTGAATTGTCCCTAAAACTAGTTGAACTTTAGTTGATCTCTTTAGCTGAATCTTTATTAAAAAATCCTAACTGACTCAGGCTCCTTCTTCAAGTGAGAATTCTCTCTGCAAAACTTCTCATCCTTGGCATTTTAAATAGTCTCATACAAAAGTGTTTTGGTGATTTCCTACCATAAATGCCTTAAGTCCTAACATTGAGATTGTAAACTAAGATGAAAAAGATTTAGTAGAGCAAAATTCTTGTCTCACAATTAATATTTGGGTGGATGCTGTCATTTGGGCTTTCTGCAGTATGCTTACATTATTTCTACATTGAAATACGCATTCAATAGTAATAAAACCTAAAGAATTACCAGACAGTCCATGAGGAAGGAATGTCCCAAGGATCCTCAGTCGCAGCACAAGTCCTCAGGTTGGTTCCAGGGCTGCTGTTGCCCCTATGACTCTGGCATGGGCTCCAAAGAGCTTGGCCCCATTCTGGGATGGACTCCCTTGTCTCCCTGCTAGTGATGCAGGCCCCTCACCACTCTCTCTATGGTCACCAGCTTCACAGGGACAAATCAGGCCTCTGACTGACCATACCTGGTCTTAGTTGGAAAGCTTTTTTATTTTTGGTACCAGAAATTGAATCCAGGGGCACTGAACCACTGAGCCACCATCCAAGCCCTTTTTTATATTTTATTTAGAATCAAGGTCTCATTGAGTTTCTCAGGATCTCACTAAATTGTTGAGGCTGGCTTTGAAATTGCAATCCTCCTGCCTCAGCCTCCTAAACTGTTGGGATTACACGTGTGCCACCAGGCCCAGCAAGAGCTTTACTCTTTGTAATACCAAAGAAGCACGAATCCCATTACTGGCAGCCGTAGGACTGATGATCCATGGGACAGACACAGAATGGAAACCCTCATTTCTTGTGACCAGAGGTTTCAAAAAGCAAAAAACAAACAAAAAACTAACTTTGGAGATAGTCCCAGCTTTGACTGACACAAACTGGCCAGCCATGACCATCTTTATTTAGAGTATTCCTACTCATTGGGTGCTGTTGTTATGGGCCAGGCTATATGGACAATGACCAAACAGACTCCATTTTACCCTAAGACTCCATATCATGTAAGAAATGCTTCTCCCGTGGGAAAGCCCTGCCTCTGTACTCATAAATATTTACCTAGCATAGCATACTTGGCAACACAATATAGTTCTTTGGTTTCCATTTTTCTTGGACAGTGTACCTTGTAAGAGATTGATTGACTGGACATTAGTAACCATTTTCTAACTTGTACTCAACTACTGTCATTTGAACCACTTCCCTTCTGCTTGCTTGCTGCTATGCCAACCTGTAAAGTCCTGTGGGAAATACCAATGTACCCATTGCATTGTCTCGCTTACTGCCCAACCCAGCTTCTCTACCTGCTTGCTTACAGCTACATCAACCCAGATTTTGCCTTTAAATATCCTAAAATGCTCAGGCTTGGGGCTGTTCCTTGCAGAAACAGTTATGGGTCCTGTGGGGAGCAGTTGCCAGCTGTCCAGCTAAATAAAGACTCTTCAATTTGGACAAAACTGGGACTGGGTATGTTTTCTGAGGGACCTGCCCCACAACACTGTGTTGGTATGCAAGAAAAAGATGGTTTTCTGCCTTTAAGCTGCAGTTGGGGTGAAACCAATCACTTTGCTTTGCTGTCTTCCTTACATTTAACCTCTTTAATCACTGCTCTGAGCTCACTAGTGAGCACAGTGGTCAACGTGTGACGCTTCCCTCCATCTTTTCTCCTCTGAAAGTATCTGATCCTTTTGTTCTCTTATCTCAGTATCCTGAGAGGGGGAACTTTTGTCTGGTGATACCCACCTATTTCCTCAGAGTAGTGATTGAACCCAAGGGCACTTAACCACTGAGCCACATCTCCAGCCCTTATTATTTTTTATTTTGAGATAGGGTCTCGATAAATTGCTGAGGCTGGCTTTGAACTCGAAATTCTCCTGCCTCAGCCTCCTGAGCCTCTGAGATTACAGGCATGCACCACAGCATCCAGCTGGATTCACTAGTTCTTGATCTGCAAGCTCTGCCCTGATCTTCTGTAAGTGACCCTCCCAGTTACAACCTCCCCCCCCCCCACCAACGTTGATCTTATCCAGACCTCAAGTTCATCCTGGGATTCTTTGCCTCTCTCTCCACCCCCCCCACCCCGCCCCCCGCTGGTGGCGGCTCCTTCCTCTACTGCATTCCTGTTTTGGTCAGCTTTTTTTGATGACTAAAAGACCCAACCAGAACAACTTTAGAGGAGGAAAAGTTTATTTGAGGGTCACGGTTCAGAGGTCTCAATCCACAGACATAGACATTCCTCAGGGCTCAAGGTCAGGCTGAACATCATAGCAGAAGAATGTGGCAGAGGGAAGCAGCTCACAGGATGGTCAAAAAGCAGTGAGCACTTCTAATGCCCCACCTCCTCCAGCCACACCCAATCCTCCCTTCAATTACCAATTAATTAATTCCATCAGGCAATTAATTCACTGATTAGTTTAAGGTGCTCAAACCCAATCATTTCCCCTCTGAATCCTCTTGCATTGTCTCACAGGTGAGCATTTGGGGAACATCTCACATCCAAACCATAACAATCCCCATATTAACTGACCACTTGACTTATCCTCCACATAGCAGATGCTGATCAGGCTTGAGGAAGGCAATTCTGCCTTGTCAAGGAGTCAGAGGCCAGCCCGACAGAATCCCCTCTCGAACAACAGCCTTCATCATTGATATATGCACAGCATGTCTCCTCCTTTTCTTCTGTTCTCTTATCCCCTTTCCCCCCAGTTTGTCCCTTATCTTTTATTGCCACTCCTACCCCACTTCATAGCTATTGGCTTTCATGCCATCCTCAAATCTTTCAACCTTTTACAAGTAATGGCATTCTTTCCTGCATGAGTGGTTATAGTAGCTTCTAATTTCCTGTGTTCATCTCTTGATACAGAACTGACTGGTTTTAATGAAAACTCTGTACAGTGTGACCTCTGCTAACCTTCGTACAACTCATACCATTCCTCCTCCACAAAAGCCACATCTAATTGTCCCCAAACTCTCACGAGATTTTTTTTTAATATTTGATATCTTTGCTTATGGAAGTATGATAAGGAGAGGCCAGGTATTGTCAATTTTTTTAGGACCTGCCAAACCTTCCAGGTGTTATGTTAAGAATGAGAAAACAATTAGAATTTCAAGTGGATAATGCAAATAGATTTGTGTTTTAGAGAGCTTTCCAGAGGTCAGCATCATCTTTTACCTGCTTACAAAGACAAAAATGCAGGTATTATTCTAGATTCTTTTTATTCATTTGACAAATAATATTTCTACAACCTAGAACATCTCTCCCTTTGTAATTAGTGAATTCTTACTCATTCTTCAGATCTTCCTCTAACCCCACTCGAGGCAGAATACCTCCTCTCTCCTCTGTTTCCATGCATGTTGAAATTGGAATCTTGGCAATTTGAGGGAAAGACGATCTGGACATTGACACTCTGGTGGAGAGGTGTGGGCTTGTAGCCTTTGGGTGTGAAAAGAGGAAGAGAAGAAACATTACACTGTAAAGGGCTGAGCTGTGTCCCCACCCCAATTCCTATGGTGGAGCCCTAGTCCCCGTAATCCAGAATCTGAATGTATTTTGAGGCAGAGCCTTTAAAGAGGTAATTAAGTAAAAATGAGGTACTTAGTGTGGATCTTAAACCAATGTTACTAATGTCTCTGTAACAAAAGAGGAAATCTGGAGGCACAGGAGAGGTACATGCACATAGAAAAGACCACAAGAGGACACAGTGAGGAAGCAGCCACCTACAAGCTAAGGAAAGAGGCCTCAAAGGAAACCACATCTGCTGACATTTTGATCTGGGGCTTGCAATCTACAATTGTGAGAAAATAAATGTCTCTTGTTTAAGTCACTCAGCCTATGGAACTTTGTTTTGGAAAACGAAGTCAACTGATATAAGCAATGAGTGAGTTGTAAAAGGAGGCAGTGTGGAGACAAAATATAGAAGTTCCACTGGGGTGTGCAGGGTGTTCTTGGCCAGATATAACTTGATAAGGGAATTCCTGGGAGATATACACTGATGATTTCCAATTGCAGGTCTACGCAGGTCTTGAGGTCCAA